CCTGAGCTCCTGCTTATTCCTGTGAAGCCGCCTCTGCATCCCAATGAGCCGTTCGTTGAGGACGTGGCGTATGTCGGCTCCTCTGATGAGGAACAGGAGGAGGAGGAGGAGAAGGAGGAGGAGGAGGAGGAGGAGGAGGAGGAGGAGGAGGAGGAGAAGGAGGAGGAGGAGGAGGAGGAGGAGGAGGAGGAGGAGGAGGAGGTTGTTGTTCATGCTGCTGCTGGGGCACCGAGTCCTCCCCGGAGCTCTCCAAGTGCCCATGCCTCCCCTACTGCCTTTGCCGCTGCTGCTCCCTTGAGCCAATCCAGCAGCGAAGAAGGGGAGGGTCCGAGTACCTCCTGGGCCCTGCCAGGCACAGAGTCCTTGCCCAGATCTGTGATTAATGATAAGGTAGCTGATCTGGTGGAGTTCCTGCTCCTGAAGTATCGCACAAAGGAGCTGACCACAAGGGCAGAAATGCTGAGTAGCATCATCAGAGAGCACCAGGACCACTTTGCTGTAATCTTTAGGGAGGCCTCTGAGTGCATGCAGCTGGTTTATGGCATTGAGGTGAAGGAAGTGGACCCCACCAGCCACACCTATGTCCTAGTCACCAACCTGGGCCTCACCTATGATGGCATGGTGAGCGATGAGCACAGTATGCCCAAGACTGGCCTTCTGATACTCATCCTTAGTATAATCTTCTCGGAGGATGATTGTGCCCCCGAAGAGAAGATATGGGAAGCACTGAATGCCATGGGGGTGCATGCTGGGATGGAGCATAGCATCTACGGGGAGCCCAGGGAGCTCCTCACCAGAGATTGGGTGCAGGAACAGTACCTGGAGTACCAGCAGGTGCCCAACAGCGATCCTGCACGGTACGAGTTCCTGTGGGGTCCCAGGGCCTATGCTGAGACCACCAAGTTGAAAATCCTGGAGTTTTTAGCCCAGGTCAATGGGAGTGACCCCAGATCCTACACACACTGGTATCAGAAGGCTTTGAGAGAGGAGGAACAGAGAGCCCAGGCCAGAATTAGCACCACAGATGATACTACTGCCATGGCCAGTACAAGCTCTTCTGCCATGGCCAGTAGCTTCTTCTGCCCTGAGTGAAATCCAAGGCAGATTTCTTTACTTTGTGTTTTAGGAGGGCAGTCAGTGATCTAAGCACTTAGTGCAGGGCCTGACTGGGGATGAGGGAATCATAGTGAATGACATCTTTGTGTCTCTGTCCCATTGGGGTGACTTAGAAATGTATCTTCTTTTATTTTTGGTGTTTTAAAATGTTACTTTAAGTAGAATGTTTATTAGCTTCAGAACCTAAGTTTACAAATGACACAGGTCACACGTTTATTGTTATTTAACTAAAGAGAAAGTGCTTTGCTGTTTTGTAAAACAAATTAGGAATCTGTCATTTTAATTGTACTCTGTAACAAGATAACATGGAATTGGAATCGTATTTTTTAATGTGAAAGAACTTAGCTGTAAAACAGAGATAAAATAGTTAATTTTTGAATTCTCATATTATTTCTAGTCTGTCATTCTGTAAAAATTATATATATAAATCTGGATTTTCTTAGCTTATTCAAGAATGTAGAAAAATGAACAATAAAAAAAATACCCTTCTCACTGGTTCATGTACACCCTAAACATTCAGTGAGCCTCTGTCCTCACAGGGAAAGGCACCCCAGCCAGAGAGAAGGAGGGAATGCAGAGGAGAGGAGCTGGGTGGAGGGACTGGCAGGACACTGGGTTGGGAAGGGAGTGAACAGGAGGCAGCTTTTGTCCCCTGGGCTTTGTCTTCAAGAGTGGGTACATTTTCATAAACACGAGGACATAATAGCTGGAGTGATGTTTATGTCCTTTTAGACAGGAGGGGAGAGTCAACCAGAGTGGGGGGTTGCTCATGTGGAGTGCGGTACTGAAGCTCAGGCCCTATGATGATGATGTATAGCCACCAGTTGTGACTGTCCTGTTACAGCCCAGGTACTCAGCCCCATGGAATCCGAGCTCTGCCAGGTACTAGGTCCCCTTCCCCAGGTAAAAGGCAAGGACAGTGGGTGATGCAGTCAGGGCTTCCATGATCGTGGGCCGTCTATTCATCCTTCTGTGCCACCTTCTCAACTGTAGACTGGGTGACAGTAGCACTGCCCCTACCCCCGTTATTTGAGGACTGAGTTCTAGGATTCTTGGATCATGCCCATCCCAGGTCCTCGAAGTAGGTTGGTGTATGGGTACTGGTGCCAATTCTTCCTGCTCCTGTTATTCCTTCTGTAGACTCAGGTGGGGGCCAGGAGTGTCTGCTGACAGCAGATAGCAGTGGTGCAGCCAGGAGATGGAGGAGGGTGGCTCCCAAGGGGTCTGAGGGAGACACCTGGCAGGATGATCTGAGCTCACACGTCGGTGTCCCAGGGCCCAGCTGAGGTTGGATCCCAAGGATTTACAATCAGGAGCCTTGGAAGAGGGTCTGGGGTGCCTTGGGACTGTAGCGCCTTGGGGTGAAAAGAGGAGACAACAGACAGTGGGGGGGGTGAGGGTGAGCAGAAGAAGCAAATCCCAGGAGGGTCTGCGCTGGGAGAGGACTAGAACCCACTCACCCGGTGTGAAGCCAAAGCGCCCTTTCTCCCTCCTCTGTGCTCCCCTGGCCTCAGTGACCTCCTTTGTGGAACTGACCACACCCTGTGCTGAGTGCCTCTCCTTACCTGTCTCCACCTTCTTCCTTGAGCTCCCCAAAGACTCCATCTGATGGACGAGGCATCTGCATCGCCAGCCCTTTCCATGGGGCCTGACAGCTGAGTGCGTGGGGATAGGAAGAAGGAGCCAACACTCTCTGCTCTCTCACCATCCCTGTCAGTGGGGTTCCAGGGCCCCAGGGGACAGTGGGGGGAGAGGTCAGCCCACAGACCATGAACATGGAGGGCTGATGCATGATGCTTATTGACATTCACACTTTTGGGTTTCCACAGGCCACGTGAGGCCCAGGGATTTCTGGGGAGATGGAGATCTCCTGCCTCTCCTTCTGGCAGCCTTATGCAAGCTTGGTCTTAAATGGGTCAAGACTCTGGAGACGCATTGGGGACCCTAGTGAGCAGCCACAGGAACTGCACCATCGCCATCCACATTGCTCACAGCGACTGGGAAGAGCCCTCTGGCAGGAGCTGCTGCTGGAGAGGCTGGGGTGGAACCCCATGCAGATTCAGGCTCTGCTCCCAAAGGGAGAAGTATGGGAGAGGAGTGATCGCTGGCAAGGAGTGACACCCTGAGAGCTGCTCACACCCCTCCAAGAGTACTCCCAGGACCTTGCTCAGAAGTTTGGGGATTGTTTTCTTTTGAACCTGTGGAGATGGGGCTGTGGTTTCTGTAAGCAGCACACCTTCAAAGGGGCAGCAAGGGGCCCAGGCTGGGGTTTTTTGGGCCAAGTTTCTACGACCTGGGTGAACCCTTCTGTCCACACTGGGCCTCAGTTCCCATTGCTGATCTGAGACAGGTCCAAGTCTGCATGTGGTGTTGCCTATGTGCACGCATGTGTGTTTATGTGTGTACACGCATGTGTGTCTGCGTGACAGACCAGGGGAGGCGGCACAGCACACAGGTCAGGTGGCCTCCAGACTCAGGCTTTCTGCCTGACTTCACACACCTGCCCCACCCCCACTGCCCAGGACATCCTGGGCCCTTTTGCTCACACCTCAGTGGTTGAGGTCCCACACCAGCTCCTTGCACCTGGTGAAGAGCTTGGGACCTGATTGCCTGTGGGTTCCCCACAGCAGCCGGGGCCCTTCTGACCTGTAGGTGCTGCCCCCAGCAGTCGGGCTGGGACCTGCCCAGTAGTGGACCAGGCTCTGTCCTCCTCATCCCTCTCTCCTGGGGCTCACCCAGAATTTTCTGAGCAGAGTTTGACACATCGGAAGTGCTCAGTCAGAGGGACCCAGGTCACTCTGTGTCCCTTTGGTGAAATCAGCTTAGCCTCTAGTGGGTATAACTCTGAATAACTGTTTTCTCTCACAGGAAGCCTTTGGTTTATGGAAGGAAAAACGTCTCAATGTTTCTCTCGTGGTGCCCAGGGCTCCTTGACATGGGGGAATCTTTGCAGGCCCAGTAAACGTGGCTCCTGAGGAGGTTGTGGAACTGGAAAAGCATGCTGTACTGACCAACCTGAAGCAGAGTACCCAAGGGCACTTTCAAACCCCAGGTGGTTCCTGGAGCCCATACCCAGGAAAGGGGGAAAGGATATCTTCCAGGTAGGCATCCCATAGCACCTGTTCCCGTAGGGCAGCGATTCTCAACCTGTGGGTCGCAACTCCTTTGGGAGTTGAACGACCCTTTCACAGGGGTCACCTAAGACCATCGGAAAACATATATATAATTACATATTGTTTTTGTGATTAATCACTATGCTTTAATTATGTTCAATTTGTAACAATGAAATTGGGGGTCACCACAACATGAGGAACTGTATTAAAGGGTCGCGGCATTACGAAGATTGAGAACCACTGCCCTAGGGTCAGGAGGACTCCACAGGAAGGTCACCGAGAATCCAGCTGAATCATGACCATCAACGGGCCATCCTGCCGCGGATGTAGAACTGAATTGGCACCACCGTGGTGAGCACTACCCACTATCTGCTGTTCACCTAAACAGATTGCTGTGCCCAGATGTAGGGGACTGTGCTTGTGAGATGCCTCTCCGGGCTCAATGGCTTTCTCAAGGACTCTGACCCTTAGAGAAAAGGGAAAGCTGTCAGGGAATATCTTGGTGCTATCACTCTTTTTGGTCCTGCTCATTCCTGGGTTTTACAGTGAAAAATGTTTTAGGAGAACTGGTTATTGTTGGGACTCCCGTCTCTTTGTTCTGCTCAAACTCAGAGAACACTTCAGCAGCACCCAGGGGTCCTTGTGGGCGGTCTGGGAGTGGGCACTGAATGATTACCAGCCAGGCCTGGCCTCATTCACGGTAAAAAAGACATCAGACTTTGAAACAAAGCGCTGTCTCTCCTGGCACGTCACTGGTCTTCTGTAAAAGTGTCCCTGGGCTCACGAGGGCTTGTGTTACACATGTCACATAGCTACCTTGTGACCCAAGAATGGATCTGAAATACAGCTCTGATGAAAAAGTGATGGGTAGAAGTTTTTTTCGTTTTTCTGTGTGGGCAATCTTTAATTTATTTGGGTCCCTTCTAGCAGGGTTACTAATGGTTGTTAGCTTTCTCCCAGGCATTGACTGGAATGGCCCATCTTCTGAGCCACACTGGCTGTAATATAACATTTAGCAGATGGGGTGGCCTGAATTCTAGGTGGGCCTCTCTGCAAGGCCTCTGGAACTTGGGCTAGAGACACTCAAATGCTGATCAGAAACTTCCTGGCATCATAGAGGGACCCGTGAATAAAGACCCTCTTATTTCAAGTTGCATGACTAATATAAGGTGATTCCCCCAAGGTCAGGAGCCAGGCAGTTCTGTCTCCTGTCCAGTAGGCAAGGCTCAGGGGAACAGATCTTCCTGGGCTTGCCTCAGGATCCCCTAGCCAGTTCCTTGGCTGAGTATGTGAAAATGAAAGAGGACAACGGGAACAAATGCGTGTCTGGGCCAGAATTTCTAGTCTCCTCAGGCTCATCTGATGAGGTGTGTGGCACAGAAACAGAAGAACACGATTCACAATTATCGTTGGGCTGTTTATTTTCTTCCATGTAGTTTTGCCTTTTTTTATTAAAGCCTACATGGATTCGTGGGTACAAACTGGTGATTGCTTTCTGTCACCTGTGATCTTACAGGCCTGCATTGCCCTTGAACTGCTCACAGAGTGAACAGTTGCCATATAAGGAGTCCTCCCCCTCCTGCTAGTACTTATCAGGTTCCTTGGGCTGGGTCATGACTGAAAGGACAGCCATCACCATATAAATACCAGGTGCTGTACAAATACCTCATCAAATCATATAGTGTGTGATTTAGGGGGCTAGAGGTCAGAGCCCCTGTGCCATCTGTTCAGGCAGTAGCCAGGGGAACAAGCATGCCATTCTCAGATATTCCCTCCCCACTTGGGCCACCTGCCTCACTTGCACACCGGACCTCAATGGCACTGTTCCTGGGCCACAGAACTGAGAACTTGAATGAGCCGGTG